TGGACCAAATTTAACCAAACTTGTCAACAATTATCATTGGGGTATCTAATTTAAAAGATATGTCTGATGACCCCGCCCGCCAACCAAGAGGGCAGACATGGCTAAAAATAGAACATAGGGTTAAAATGCAAGTTTTGTCTATTATTTTAAACCGTTATAAATAGAGAGAATCTGACAAGAGCTCAAATGTTCACAATGTTGAGCTCTACCAATTGTCTGTATACGTCAAAACTGTCAGACGAATAGGAGTTATTACCCTTAAATGACTTTTTTTTTTCATTTTTGCCTATTGTCTTGAAAACTATAATTGATAGAGAGAAACTTTAAATTGCAAAAATGATCAGCAAGACAAGTTCTACAAATAAGTCTAATTATCAAAATCGTTAGCCGACTCCTTTTTAGAGTTATTGCCCTTTGATGACGATTTTTATCAATTTTTTTGTGATTTTGCCAATATATCTTAAAAATTATAATAGATAGAAACCTAAATAAGCAAAAATGATCAACAAGACAAGATCTACAATTAAGACAATATTAGGAAATCGTCCTATGACTCCCTATTGGAGTTATTGCCCTTTAATGATGAATTTTACCATTTTTTTTGCTTTTTGCCTTGTATGATAAAAATTATAATAGATAAATAGACACTTTAAATCACAAAAATGATCAGCAAGGCAAGATCTACTAACAAGTCAAATGTTGGCGATATAGTTAGTAGGCTGTCACTCTTTATAGGAGTGATTGCCCTTAAATGAGGAATTTTTTTACCCTTTTGTGTTTTGAGCAAAAACTAAAGAAGATAGAGAGAAACTAAACAGACTAAATGATCAGCAATACAAGATCAACAAAACAGAGATTTTCATCATGAATTCTATTCTCGTCTACAATGTTGGAGAGTGTCCTTTATTGAATATTCACATAGACCAAGGTGAGCGACACAGGCTCTTTAGATCCTCTAGTTTTTATTTTCAGTATTTTTATGGATATATGGACTTAGTTTTTTTACAGTTAACATTTACAGACAGTCTGGGATAAAAAAAAAATTTGACATGATAAATTTGTAAACCTTCATGGATAGTTATGAAACTTGGATAGAGGCTAATCTTCAATACCAAGAAATAGCATCTAAAGAAAAAGTCTGTGAAATTTTTTTTTGATTTCTGTATTTTACTGATAAATGGTTTTTTTAAAGTCAACATTACACTTTAATACTGACAGCAGCAATAACAGGTGAGACACTGGGTTCCATGGAAATCCTTACAAATTTTTGGTCAATGTTAAGTTTTTGTGATAGGTTGGTTTCTAAGAATACTATAAGCAAAAGATTAACTTTATTTTGGTGTATGGAATGATTGTAAGGTGTATATGAGTCTATGGCAGGGTTCCTCTGACCTTGACTTTATTTTCATTGAGCATTGATAATGTTAAGTTTATGTGATACTTGTAGTAAAACCTTTTCTGTTACATTAAGATCAACCTTTTCCCAAGCATTGGTCTTGATCTGTTTTCTTTATGAAGGAGAACGTTTTTATTGGCTAATTTTTCTTCACCACTGAAATAAAATCTATCTCTTTAATAGTCCTACACAGATTCTAGTCAAACATGAAGCATTGATTTACTTCATACCATGTGAACTTAACACACTACAATTAAAGAAGGGGCAAAAATACCTACTTACTACACAGAAAATGAAAATAGATAGTAAAAACACTGTTTGCCCTTTCATTATAATACAAAAGCATCTAAACACTTGTTGGACAAGGAAATTTCGCATGAACGGCTGTACTCCTGTTACAGTATTCAACCTTTTCCTTTGACACAGTGTTTTGTATATATAATATATATCAAAGCAGTGGCCTAGGAGTAGGAATGGACTAAAAAGCCTAAAAAGCGGGGCTGAAAGTTATGAGCAAAAAAAAATTTAAAAAGTTCTAAAGCTTTTCTGTAGTCTAATAGTCTAGAAGTTAGTAAGAAGAAAAGGGGGCAAAAACATAGTTTGCTTCCCCCCCCTTTCCCCCCCCCCCCCCCACACACACACACACACTTTTGAAAGTTGAAGGCAATTGCTCCCTTGTACCCTGGTGCCTACGCCAGTGCAAAGCTATTAATGTGGAAAATTTTTCAAAAAAATTATGGGTTATGGTTATGGAAAATGCTAGATTTATGTTAAATTCATCATATCCAGCACTACAAAACTGGTAGAACTTAAGGTGGCATGACATGTGTTGTACTGCAGACATAGTAAACATTTGATTAAAAACTTGATGTGCAGTGGCATTCTTCAGTCTAGTCTTTAAAAATTTCATTCAAATGAACAGGAAGGGTTTTGACCCAATTATTTCAAATTATGTAAAATTCATTGTTCGTCAGGTACATATCTAAATCTACAGAAATGAGGGCTATAGGTGATTTCCTAGGTGTACAAGTTTGGTCAAATGTAGTTAAACATACATGCATAGATAAACCAGGATAGATCGTTTATTTCAGTGCATTTCATGTGGAAAAGTACATCTACAATACACCCATTATTCCATTAGCGAAATTTAAATCAATAAAATTATTTATATTTTATTATCTACTGTTAAGTTCATATTGATATTTGTTTTGACATTCTTTACTAAAAGATATCTTATTTCATACATATAAATGTCACAGTTTAGTATTTGGCATGCAAATATATTTTTGAAGCATTATTCAAAAAAGAGAAAATTTCAAGCATGGATTATTTGAGAGGAGCAGTAGCAGGAGTGATTTATAGTTTTTGGATCTTTATAGAGAAATTAGAATTTTAAATTGACTTTTTTTTCATAGAAAATCTTTGATAATGAATTTCAATATAATTGCAAGACATGACTTTTTCATATACCATTAAAATCTATTTTATATGAGGAACTCTTTAAAAGTCCCCCATTCCTGCCCCATGTTCAGGCTTATATTGCATGTAAGCAATTGTTGACCGAATATTTTCTTTGTCAGTTGTTGCCTTGAGACTCATGAAGCATATCATATTATTTCCTTTTACTGACCACAAAAATTCTGGTTTATAGCTATGCTTTATTCTTTCAAATTCTACTTGTGGTTAAAGATAATTAAATACCATGATCCCTGCAGGTATTTATAAAGGTGATCTCCAACAGAGTAACATAGAATATACATTAAATCTAAAAAATAGATTTCATCATATTGTATTTAGTATTTTTTTTTATTGTATTGGAAAAACAGCAAGTACATAAAAGCAGTAGGTTTCATTAAGGATTTAAATAAGTTTTTTTTTTGCATTAATAAGCATATTTAATCAAATTAAAAGTACAGAATGAAATTTTTACACAAACCAACTTGAAACTGAATCAGAAGCAACACAAGCATATGTTTAAAATGAAGTACAGACTTTCAGAGGATAATAGTGTGACAAAAGTTTCATGTTTTTCGTTACTTAAAATTTAAGAATGATCAGAAATTCTTATCAGGTAGCAACAAGAGTTTGTCTAAATAAATTATGATGTATTTGTTTCAATGTTATGATTAAAAGAAAAAAACTGAAACTACATTTTTAATGTTTAATAAAATAGAATTTTTAAACCATTTAATTCTAATCTAAGTCATTTTTTAATAGGAGACTTGTTGCATCAAGTGACTTCAAATTTCTTTCTCTTCTTAGAATTTGTTGTCAGTTTTTTTTTTCATTTTATTTATTTCATTTTAGATTTATATTTTGCAAATTTTCATATGTATTTTTTTTGGAGTACCGGTATATATCTATTTACTTTTTCAAACTGCTATGCAATTAGGTTATTGTCTTTTAGGTTTTCATGACAATAAAATGTTGTCTAGTATTTGTGTCATAAGTGGTGCATTCTATTGGAGATCAGTACATTTGTAAAAGTAACTCAAAACTGCAGAATTTGCCTATTGTAGCTTAATGATGTGTTTTGAAGGCTTCTGCTCTAGTATTATTTTCCTGAGCACTTTTATACACCATGAGATGTTTGCCTCAAAGATTTCATAATCCTAAATAATATTGTTTGCTTGAGGTTTTATACACCATGAGATTTGTTTGCCTGAAAGCGTTCATAATCCTAAATATTGTTTTCTTGAGTCATAAATGCTTTTATACACCATGAGATTATTTGTCTGAAAGCTTTCATACTCCCATGAGATTTTTGTCTAAAAGCATTCATACTTCATAAAAATGTTTGCCTGAACATGCTTAAAGCTTTCATACTCCCATGAGATTTTTGTCTAAAAGCATTCATACTTCATAAAAATGTTTGCCTGAACATGCTTAAAGCTTTCATACTCCCATGAGATTTTTGTCTAAAAGCGTTCATACTAGATTTTTTGTCTGGAAACTTTCATACTTGATAAGATTGTATCACTGTACTTAGACCAACAAATGTCCTCTATTAAATCCAGTATCTAACAAATAAATCAGGTATAGTACAGGGAGCAGATTTTATATATATTGGTTATTTGTATTGTACATAATACCATAGCAATGAAATAAATCAGAGTACAGAGAGTAGACTTTATATATATTGGTTACTTGTATTGTACATAATACCATAGCAATGAAATAAATCAGAGTACAGAGAGTAGACTTTATATATATTGGTTATTTGTATTTTACATAATACCATAGCAATGAAATAAATCAGAGTACAGAGAGTAGACTTTATATATATTGGTTATTTGTATTGTACATAATACCATAGCAATGAAATAAATCAGAGTACAGAGAGTAGACTTTATATATATTGGTTATTTGTATTGTACATAATACCATAGCAATGAAATAAATCAGAGTACAGAGAGTAGACTTTATATATATTGGTTACTTGTATTGTACATAATACCATAGCAATGAAATAAATCAGAGTACAGAGAGCAGACTTTATATATATTGGTTATTTGTATTGTACATAATACCATAGCAATGAAATAAACAAATGATAATCAAGGTCAAGGCCAATAATAGCAAAATGTTCACCATTTTCTTACAGGATGCAGTAGCTGTTGCTAAGAAGTTCATGGAGAGAGATCCTGATGAAGTCAATTTCACTTTGATGGCATTGGCAAAAGTCGAGTAATACTGATTGGACACTTCATGGTCACATGATCAACAAGATATCCAGCTTTATCTGTTTTGACTGTGATGCTGCACATGCGACATTATTGTGCATTCTATGTTGTGCCTCAACACAAGCATTGTTCTCTTATTTTACAGTATTTTTGGATCTCTAGAGTATCTTCACATGAATGGGTTATGGATGATATAACAACTTAATGAAGATTGCTTTGCCTTTTGACAGTTTGACGCTTTTATTTATAAAATTCAAGTCTGGTTTGATGTTCATTTGAATAGCTGCATCAGTTCAAGAGTTGTGGTCCCTGAAGAGTTAGAAACAAAAACTTGATGTGACCTCAGATTTAGTACATGTACCAATTACAACTGTAAACCATTTTATATTTTTTCTTTACAAAATTGAAAACAGCAAAACTAATACTTTCCCTATAAAAATTATCAGTTTGATCTTTAGACTCATTATTTATATAAGTACAATGGGTAGTCAAGGTCGTTAAACACCCTCTAATAGTATAAGTTACCAACTCTCATCAATGCAGATTTTACCTTTATGCACTGTGTTATGTTGACCATGTCTAAAGTTGAACTTTTGGATTATAATGTTTTAATTCCTTAGCTTTATAAGGGATTACTACTGACTAAGAGTAAGAAGTTGAAGGTCATTACTTCTAGTTTGACCTCTTTAACAAGAAATACCTGATGTTTATTGTGAAAATCCTTGTAAATCTGCAAAGAAAACAGACTGCTAGGTATATATGGGGAGTATCTATTGGATTGTCAATATATCACTGGTGTTGTTTTAAAATAATAGTGGTACAATTTAGAATATCATTATGAAATATAAGGTCCTATCTGTATTGGTAATTTAAAATGTATAAACCAGTACATATTTTTGTGAACTAGTCATCAGTTGGTTAAACTAATGACTGTTGATTAATGGCATAGTGTTTGTTTCAAAATTTGAAAAGTTTTTAAGTCCTCTAATGTTCATCCAAGTGTCATTGTATGCTCCTATATCCCTAAATTCAAAGAAAAACATAAATATTGCTTTCTAGGTCCAGTATTGATTCCTGAAAAGTAGACTTAAAAACACTCTGTGTCACTGCTTGTTCACACCTATTTCATAAACACTTTGGGATAAACTTGTTAATAAGTAACAATGTGTTACATTTGTAAATGAAGCTTTCCATTATAAAATACAGAAGACCATTCAATACAGTAAAGAATATATAATTAGATTTTTACACAACAGCAACTTCATTATTAATTCATCCTTCATATCCTGCTAAGTCAGTAGATTTCTCTTGAAAATTGAACGAATGCATTAATTATTTAGCTTCTTCAGTAGGTCAATGTTCTATATATAGATACTGCCACTGCATTCAGTGTGATACAATATTTTCTCAACTCAAGAAAGTTAAATTTACAACTTTTAATTGTAGGGCTTTCCAACCTTCTGAATTTTTTTTAAGTTAACTGTTTCTCTATGATATAAAGACATTGTTTAATATCTTTAATTTCCAACGATCTGAAAATTTATTTGTCATCTGAGGCATGGTCAACTTTTTTGTGATGTCACAATAGAAAATTCAGGGGAGAGAAAGAAATATTTTTCGCCATAATTGAATTTTGACCAATAAAGAACTGAGATCAAACAAACCTTATGTTTATTATTAAAAAATAATCCACCAGATCAAGAAAGTAAAAATCGGTTAAGAATGAGAGAAATGTAGATCTTCATTCTGAAAAGGCACAAGTTTTGTCATAACTATTGAATTTCCTGTCATAACATCCAACTTATGAAATTTAATAATTATGAAACATTTTTAGCAATGATATACTATGTACCATTATTGATCTCTAAAAGTAATCTTGTAATTCACCAAGTGAAATTTCGTGATTTATTTCATTCCCTGACTTTGGCAGCAATCACCATTGTCAGCTATGCCACAGGTCAAGAATAATGGTAAAAAAGTCCTATCTATTTGCAGCTGTACTTCAGGAATATTCCTATCATAATCAAAGTTATAAAAACAGTCACTAACTCTTGGATATTGGAAATATACCATAACCATTAATGACCAGAAAACACTACAAGCTCATTGTTTATTCATACATTCTTCACATTCCATAAGTTAGAGTAATTCTAAAAACATGATTTACGCCAAGACTTCAATTTCTTCAATGGATTATAGATATTTAAATTACATTTAATACCTTGACTTATTTAGTGATTAGTGAAAAAAAAAAAAGATATAAAAAATATAATGATATATTTACCCATAAAAATTGAGGGGTATAAGAACAATATACTCCCTTAGCGTGTCATAAGAGTCTTGGTCATTCAAAACTGGTATGCATTATACTAGCCAAAGAAAAAATATTGTCCAACTCAGACATACAAATTTGAATAGTTTTATCAAAATAGATACAGGGTTCACCATCTCATAAAAAAGTATACTTCTATAAAGGGATACTGGTCTAAAATCACAAGTAACTTATGGTTTCTTTATCTTTTTCTTTTAATACCACCCTTTAAAATAGACAAAATTCTGGGAAAATCCCTAGAATTGTTTTTGCAACAATTGTGAAAACCCTGTAGGAACGGTAAATGTCCTTCAGTATGACAATATAAACTGAAGGACAGTAACAGTTATTCCAATTTAGTACCAATGAAAAGGTCTTAAATAGATGTCTAAAAGACCAATAATAATAAGCATTATTTTGATAGTACAATCAGTTTGGTAAGATGTTATCATTAGATCATGTTTGAAATGGTTGGATCCTGTAATGGTTATTGTTTATTAGTGCTATGTTATCATTTATGTTTTAAGAGAGTATGGATAATATCTCGTATTTAAATTTTTGTTTGTTATACCAAAAGGAATATTTGTATCTGCAGAATAAATGTTGTGCATCTTATATGTAAAAGTGCTTGAGTGTCTAAATAAAGCCATTTCTATAGAATAAATGCTTCGTGTATTGTCTAACAAGTCATAAATGTACAGAAAGTGCTTCATTAAGAATTTACAGTATACTAATTGAAATAGTCTATTTGCCAATTACCAATTTGCTTCTAACTTACTGAAGTTGCTTCCCTTTGCCAGTTTCAGACTGGTTCTTAACCATACAATAAGGTGTTTAACCCAATTTTTATGGAAAAATAACTATTGATATCAGAGTTTTTAAATTAACAAAAGATTAAATGTAATTAAAAGATTTGAAAAGACTTATCCACAGATAAATTTGTTCTTTTTGCTAGCATGTCATGGTAGACCATTGCTAATGTGATTATTTTGTTTAACTGGTCTGGATGGGTTCCCCACAACACACCCAAGTTAATTCACAGATACTAAGGGTGTCATAGCTATTTTTCTGATGTGCTTCAATTCTTACATAAGACACCAAGATCCTAAAACAAAAATGTATCTTTTTATGTCAGTAATTTATATGCATAAAATTGTGAGGGTCCACAAATGTTGTTATATTTAATGTAATGGCAGATAATAAAAATACTTTTTTGTCAGAAATTTTGAGTTTTTAATTGCCAAAATAGTAAAAAGTCTTATATTTTTACATGCTTAAATGAAGAATACATGGAACAAATGCAGCAAGAGACACACATCTGACTGTATTGTTGACCTGCAGAAAAAATTGCCAGTTTTCTAATTAGGACTTTTATATGCACATTCTATAGTCACTCTTAGTGTTGCTGATCATCTTTGTATGTACATGATTTACCTAGCTCCTATAATTTTTAAGATAACGGCCAAAACTGCAAAAACAGTAAAAATCAGCATTTCATGGCAAAAAATCAAAAACGGAATGTCAAATTTCAAAGTATATATATCTTAACTATGATCATTGTTGCAGTTGACACATTTAACCTAGCTCCTATAGTTTTCAAAATAACAGCAAAAGAAAAAATGTATATTTCTGGGGGCAATAACTCCAAAACAAGTTGACAGATTTTTTTTCTGGAATTGTCAGGGTTAATAGGTCTTCTCGTCCTGATCATTTTTCTGGAATTGTCGGGGTTAATAGGTCTTCTCGTCCTGATCATTTTTGAAAAGTGATGGCAAAAGCTCACAATGACTAAAATTTAACAGAATTTAGAATGGCTGAGATTTTGAATGTGAAACAATCGAAATTGTGGTAACTAAAACACATTGTAGAAGTCTTCAGTTTGGGTGATGTTGATTGTTTGCAGTGGATTAAACCAAGGATTTGTTACTATACAAATCCTTGATTAAACTACAGAACTTTTTTTCAAACAAATCTAGAATCTGTTTTCTGAGCTCTTCCCTAAACAAAAAAATAGATTATAATTAAAACTTAATCAATTATTTACTTTTCTGAGACTTGAGAATCTCAGATTTGTTTAATGTATAGGAAGTGTAAAAATAAATTATAATCCAAAGAAGAGTATGTGCTTTATTAGTACATGAAGGCGAGACATTTTAATGGCTGGATCATATTTTTATTTCTCCACCAAACATTGCTTAACAATAGGCAAAATCAAAACTCCTCCTTTCCTCTCCAGTAACCCGACATCCAGAATCCACCACTTTGTTTTAAGTCAACTCTGATAGAGAACTACATATAATCTCTTATTTTGATGATATATTGTTAGTATAATAGTCCCAGCCTAAACTGACCATAATAAAATCCGACCTAAAGAGCAGTTATCCTCTGCACTGTTCGATAGGATAAGTTCATCAGCAAGGACAATATGCGTGATATACTAATTAATTCTTCCAAATGTCTAACTATTTTAAATACTGATGTGACTTCATGGTTAGTAGTGTTGTTTCTTAATGTTTCTCTGATTGTGTGGCTAGCTTCCTGTAGTAGCTGCTTTACAAGTCATCTTTTGTTTCTTGTTTAAGTTAGCGGTCATTATTTCGGTAGGTGCACTGTGTGTGTGTAAGACATAATAGTGTCCTGTGAAAAAGTGTCCACCTGGACAGTTTTTCATAGAATTTTGGTATTAAATAATGTCCATTGCCATGAAATATTGTCCCTCAAGTGGACAGATTGTTACTGCAAAAGTTATGAAATAGTGTCCACCCACAGGACAAGTTTTCATAGTAGTTGCTATTAAATTGTGTCCTCCAAGGAAAGTAATACAAAGGTCATTAAAAAGTTTTATTATACTTAAATTTTAATAAAATCTGAACGATTGATTAGAAATTAATTATTATACAAATGTAAACAAACAAATAATGGATGGAAGTGAATATAGAGACGTTTAAGTTCTAAGAAATACCCAGCTAATGCTAATGACAATAAGAAGGAAGTGTGTAATGTATTAAATCAAATGTGAAGAACTTTACTATATTTATTATGAGAAGAAGGCAAAAGAAAATATAGAATTTTGGTATTAAATAATGTCCATTGCAATGAAATCTTGTCCCCTAAGTGGACAGCATTTTACAGCAACAGTTATGAAATATGGTCCACCTACACAGGACAATTTTTCGTAGTAATTGTTAATAAATTGTGTCCTCCAAGGAAAATAATACTGAACAGTATCTGTTACTTGTTTGAATTTAAATCATTATACATGTATATATATTAAAAAATATAAATAAGAAGATAAGGATGGTATGAGTGCCAATGAGACATCTCTCTGTCAAAGTAACAATGTATTAAAGTTCGCAATTATAGGTTAAAATACGTCCAGTAATAACAAGGCAATGGATATCATTTAATACTTTAATCATATCAAAAAAAATTCTGTCGGACATAATGTCCTGTGAAAAAATGTCCACCTGGACAGAATGGTCATGTTCATGGACACTTTTTCATACCGTCTGAGGACATATTTTCATAGGAAATTGTGTCCGGGACACATTTAAATAAGTAAATATTGTCCATGGACAGTATTTACTATGAAATAATGTCCGGTGGACATTATTTCATGGGGGACATTATTAAATCCTACATGTGCAGGTTTTTATACCCCGCCTACGATCGTAGAGAGGTTTTGTGAGTGCCCGTCAGTCCGTCCGTCCCTTATCAGGTTACAGTTTGGTTTAAGATAGTTTGTTGTTACATCAACATGATTCATTATAAAGTGAACTGGTTAATATCGATATAAAATTATGTAGCAAATTATGGTTTTGACAAAGATTTCACGAATCACTGAACATCGAAATGCAGCAGTATGTGCGGACCACGGTGTCATTTTGACACATATTCTTGCTTCAAGTATTGTGTGTACATATGTTCGATAAAATAAATATTTTGCGTCAGTGAGCAAGCCCGACTATCTGGGCCGTATGTAGTTGGTTGTATTTTGTCTTTTTTTGCGTCTATAGGAGTAGTTGTATTGTCCAATGTTGTTTGCATAAGTATAGTATCACCGGGTATGATTTTGAGGAGACATAATATGTCTCTTGACATTGAAGTTGGATATGTCGGACACTTGAGCAAATGATACCTTTGTCGTTAAGTGGTTTCGTTTGTACATTTAATTTTTAGTAAATAAGAATAGTTTGTTCCTGTTTACGTTATTGAAACTCTTTTCGTTTCTCAGAATTATGTGAAGGAAGAAACTTTTCTTCCTTGTTGAGTTCTGACGTCTGTTTATCACGTGATTTTGAATAACAATTTATCTTCAGGAAAAAATTAAGCAATCTATAAGTGTTTTTTAAGTGTTGTGTCAAGTGTTATTTATTTAGGAAATACTCTATTTGCCTCTTGTTTACCAATACATTTTTCCGGAAACAAAATCGATCCGACATACTTTTACTAAACGTTTTAACTTTAAAAATCAACATCAATAATTAAAAGACCCTCAAAACAGGCGTAGACTTATATATGTAATAGACAGGTTTAGACTATGTAATAGACAGGTTTAGACTATGCAATAGCATACATCCATGTAAATGATCATTTTCTAATAAACGACTTTTTTATCTAATGAATAGAGTTTAAAACTGTAGTTTGCATAACGTAAACTATTTAAATTTGTAAAAAAACAAATTGAAACACCATCTTTTTCTATGTAGCATATAAGTAAAATTTCAGTCTGTTTGTCGGATTGATGAAGATGTGGGGTATAAGTCAATGAGACAGCAACCCAACAACAATAATAAGCAAACCTGAGATATTTAAAGGATAGTGTATCCATAATTGTTTATTTGAGCAATGAATAAAAAAATGTTAGCTATAAAAATGATTCGAATGGAAACATATGATACCGAGAATTGAAAGGGGTAGCTATGGTGGTGAAGACAAAAATGACCAGACTTTACATGCGTAAGTATTTCCAATCTGTTAAATTGAGTTTTTGCACAAAATCTGTTTTGGGGAGGGAGAGGGGGGTTACAGTTCAAGTTACAGTAAATTGGTTATATGTGTCACTATTTATTATAAGCTTTTGTAGATAACTTCGGTATGAAAAGCTTGAACTAAAATTCTAAAAACTAATGCATTTTTCTCTTTTATATTCTGTACTATCATTGAATAAGTTCTTTTTAAAATAGATATACATTCGCATAGAATGTACGTAAAATCGGTGAAAACGTTCTGATACAGGTTTTCTTTAAAATTGTTAAGTTACCGTTGCTACAAATATTTCTGTTTGGTTGAAACAGAATAATCTTCGAGTCACCGTATTCAGTTTTTTTTTGTATCGGTAGTGAAACAATTCGAATAAAAAAGTGTGTCATGGCTTAACAACGCGACGACATTACGCTTATTACGACGTTTTGTATGGAAAGCCATGACTGTCTTCTGATGTTGATTGTTTAATATGTTCGGTGCTTTATGCATTATGTTCAGTAGTATTTATATTAGGTTCAGTAGTTTTCATATTCTGTTCAGTAGTTTTGACATTATGTTCAGTAGTTTTGACATTATGTTCAGTAGTTTTGACATTATGTTCGGTGCTTTGGTTATTATGTTCAGTAGTTTCATTGTTATATGTAGTGGTATTTAAATTATGTTCGGTGCTTCTGACGTTATATTCAGTGCATTTTGCATTATGTTCAGTACTTTCGACATTATGTTCAGTAGATTCAATATTATTTGCAGTACATTATGTATTACATTCAGTGGTCCCGGTTTCTTTTTATTCGGTGGATTATTCATTATGTTCAGTAAAAGCATCAGTATTATACTCGGTTAAATGGACTATATGTTCAGTAGTTGTATCATTATGATGATGCAGTAAAAATTGGGAAATCAATAACGGAAATCATCGGGAAAAAAACGAACGCGGACATTTTTGACGGACATTTTCTTCATGGACACTTTTACGGGATGGAATGAAAATGGAAGAAATGGAAGCAGTATTAAATTGGATTGTTTTACGTTCCCACGTTGGCAATTTTCACAAGGAAAAAAATACTCCTGACTTAATTTGTAAGATGTCATGATTGATTGATTGTTGTTTTCTGAACGTATAGTGGCAAATATTTCATGCATATTTATGACGGAGAGAAGAATTTTTAAACAAAAAATAAGAAGTTGCATGCATTGTCGTTGATACACTATGACTATAGAGAGACGACAAAAAGAC